ATAATGAACCAGAATGATGTGAATTAAGGTCCCAGCCACGGATGTACGTACACAGTTCTGTGCTCAGGGCTAGGAGTTGGCTGATTCTGGCCCCACCTGTCCTACTGGGAGGTTTTCTGTTTGGAGTACACTGCCTATCCATCCAGTTAGCTCCGGGCCCCGGCTCCAATATACAAGGAAAGCAACTGCAATTCTGTATTTTTGCCCCCCTCCTTTTCTGTCATTCCCAGTTTTCATTTGAATAGTTTATCACAGGACAGCGCACACCCAGGTGGCAGCTGTGATGAGAATGCTGAGGGCCTTGGGGTGCTATTACCCACCCTCGCTCAGGACCACAAAGCACAAGGTTGGGGGGCTGCCGTGCACGCAGGCAGCCAGGCACACTGCCGTGAGCACCGTGATCCGGTGTCAGCCTAACTTCTCAGAGTCATGCAGACTGGGTTTCACAAGGCAGTGGTGTGCTCCGTCTCCATGACGACGCGACAGCATGCCAGGAACGACCGATCTAATGAAGCCGGCCGTCCCCGCTCTCTCTGGGCCTCTCTGTGTGAACTGGACGGCACACAGCCCACTTTGTTCTTGGGGCTCTTTGTAGACCACCGCTTGGTGTTTGCAAGGACAACCAGGGTGGCAGGTGCACTGCAGTGCTGGGCCCCGGGATGCCTGCAACTGCTCATCTCAGACAGGAAGCCAGACTGAGCGCAAGCTGTTCCCCAAGAGTCAACGTTACCAAAAAAAAACGGGAAATTCTCCATGAAGAATTTAAGAAATACACTACTTTCTAAAACAGACCATGTCTATGGTTCCAGTTAAATATCTATGTTTTTTACTGGAATATGTGTGCATTATATTGCATTTTTTACTGGAATATAGCTGTTGCATATAATATTATATGTCGCATAAACATATATGGCTTTTGTATGGTCCCATTATACATAACGTTTCATGTTGTTGTTGTTGTTGTTAAGTGCCGTCGAGTCATTTACCACTCATAGCGATCCCATGCACAGCAGAACGAAACACTGCCCCATCCCGCGCCAGCCCCACAATCCCTGCTATACGTGAGCCCATCATCGCAGCCACCGTGTCAATCTATCTCGTTGAAGGCCTCCCCCTCATTCGTCAACCCTCCACCCTACCAAGCATGACATCCTTCTCCAGGGAATGGTCCCTTCTTACAACATGACCAAAATAGGTGAGACGAAGTCTGGCCATTCTTGCTTCCAAGGAGCATTCTGGCTGCACTTCCTCCAGGACAGATCTGTTAGTTCTTTTAGCAGGCCATGGTACTTTCAGCATTCTCCGCCAGCACCACAACTCAAAAGCATCAACTCTTCTTTGGTCTTCCTTATTCATTGTCCAGCTCTCACATGCATACGAGGCGATTGGAAATATCATGGCTTGTGTCAGGCGCACCTTAGTCCTCAAGGAGATATCCTTGCTCCTCAGCACTTGAAACAGTTCCTTCGCAGTTGACTTCCCCAATGCTACACGTCATCTAATGTCCTGACTGCTGCTTCCGTTGGCATCGATTGTAGAACCAAGCAACGTGAATTCCTTGACAACCTCAATCTTCTCTCCATTGATTGTGATGCTGCTCATTGGTTCAGTTGTGAGGATTTTTGTTTTCTTTATGTTGAGATGTAATCCATACTGCAGACTGTATTCTTCAACCTTCATCAGTAGGTGCCTTAAGTCATCCTCACTTTCAGCAAGCAAAGTTGTATCGTCTGCATATCTCAGGTTGTTAATGATTCTTCCTCCAATCCTGATACCACGTTTTTCTTCATATAGTCCAGCTTCTCGGATTATTTGCTCAGCATATAGATTGAATAAGTGTGGAGAAAGGATACAACCCTGACGCACTCCTTTCTTGATTTTAAACCATGTAGTGTCCCCTTGTTCTGTTCGAATGACAGCCTCCTGGTCAAGGTACAGATTCCTCATGAGTACAATCAAGTGCTCAGGGATTCCCATTCTTCTCAATGTTATCCATAATTTGTCATGATCCACACAATCAAATGCCTTTGCATAGTCAATAAAACACAAGTAAACATCTTTCTGGTATTCTTTGGCTTGAGCCAAGATCCATCTGACAACAGCTATGATATCCCTTGTTCCACATCCTCTTCTGAATCCGGCTTGAACCTCTGGAAGTTCTCTATCAATATACTGCTGCAAACGTTTCTGAATTATCTTCAGTAATATCTTACTTGCATGTGATATTAATGATATTGTTCTACTATAATTTCTACATTCTGTGGGATCACCTTTCTTTGGAATGGGCACAAATATGGATTCTCTTCCAGTCAGTTGGCCAGGTAACTGTCCTCCAAATCTCTTGGCATAACTGAGTGAGTGCCTCCAATGGGGCATCTGTTTGTTGAAATATCTCAATCGGTATGCCATCAATTCCCAGAGCCTTGTTCTTTGCCAGTTCTTTCATTGCAGCTTTGACTTCTTCCTTCATTACCATTGGTTCTAGATCATATGCCACTACCTGAAATGGATGAAGATCGATCAGTTCTTTTTGGTACAGTGACTCTGTGTATTCCTGCCATCTTCTCTTGATGTTTCCTGCATCATTCAATATTTTGCCCATAGAATCTCTCAATATTGCAACTCGAGGCTTCAATTTTTTCTTCAGTTCTTTCAGTTTGAGAAATGCTGAGCGTGTTCTTCCTTTTTGGTTTTCAGTCTCCAGGTCTTTGCACATTTCATTATAGTAATTGGCTTTGTCTACTCGAGCTGCTCTTTGAAATCTTCTGTTCAGCTCTTTTACCTTTCCATTTCTTCCATTTGCTTTAGCGATTCTCCGCTCAAGGTTAAGGTTCAGAGTCTCTTCTGTCATCCACTTTGGTCTTCTCTTCTTTTCTTGTCTTTTTAGTGATCTCTTGCTTTCTTCATGGATAATGTTTCATATATTTTAGAAATATATACATTCATACTTTATAATTTCTTTTTATAAAATATGAATGTATAGTATATGTGTTCTATGTATATTATGTTTATATTTTAAAGTATTCATAAATATATACTTATTTATTATATATTTTGTATATTTATAAATATATTTATGTTATCATTTATATTTATAAAATATAAACTTAGTGTATCTCATACTATACGTATTCTATTTCATATATTTTTAAAGATATTTATAAATATGCATTTATAGTTTATGTATTAGTTTGGGCATTTATAGTTTATGTATATAGTTTGGGCAATCCTACTTCCGTAGTGATACTGCCTCGGAAACCCAAGGAGGGGTCGCTATGAGTCGGGGCCGACTCGACGGCAAACAACAACA